CACCTCTCTGCATCTCCCCATCTCAGCAAACACCATCGTGGAATTACCCAGACAGGAAAATATTCTAAGAGTGGGAGGTGGCACTGTTTCCAGTGACCCTGGGGCACAGGTGTACGCCTGTCCTGTCCCAGGCAAACCTGGGCATGTGGCCACTCTGACCACACTCCAGGCCACCCTCAGCTGTCACCGGGACGGACACAACAGTTTCCCAGTCTGCCTCTCGGTTCCCACTCTCACCTCCACACAGGTCATTTCCCGCCTGACAGCAAGAGGAATGCTTTGAAAACTTCAGTAGGATCATGCCATGCTTTCAAGGCCAACTTCTGTGGCTTCCACTCGCCACCCCTGCCCCACACGGGTTCCTGGTGTCTGTCCCACATGTTATAGCCATGCTACCTTTCTCTGAGCTCCTTAGGCAACAAACCTGGAGACTTCGCACATGTTCTCCCTCCTAAAGGCTTTCATTTCTTCTCAGGGCAAGGTCCTTCTCTCCCTCTGGGTTCAGCTCAGAAGTTCCCACCTCACAAGGCCCATCTGCTGACTCCAGGAAATTCCCGCTCTTGCCCAGAATTCGTCATACCTGCCCCGACTGCCACTTCTCTTTATCTGTTCCTTGATTCTCTCCCTCCACCAAATGGTAAAGCAAGAGGCTAACAGTTTTCTAATAGTGCTCTGTGACCTGGGAATGTCACTGGGCTATTTGACTATGATACTAGAACCCATATGGGGACTGTGCTGGCCCCAAAGCTTCTCAGGGCATTGGTGCTTCTAGAACAGCACAGCCTGAGAACTTTCTGTGATGATGGAAGTGTCCTGTACGCACATTGTCCAATATAGTAGCGCCCAGCACTTGAAATGTGGCTGTGTGACTAGGGAACAAAGTTGTACATTTTAATTAGTTTAAGGTTAAGTTTAAGTAGCCAGTGTGGCTAGTGGCTGCAGATTACACAGTGTGGCAGCTTCTATTGCCCTGATCTGAGACACTGACTCCCACAGGAGGCCCTGGGATCTGTCCTTCTGTCCAGCCATGAGTGTTCGTTTGGTGCCTGGTGCATCAGGTCGATTTAGAGCACCCTTCCTAAGCACCGCTCTGCACCTGGCACTGCGCTGGGAGCTGCAGGTGTGCACAGTACAGCCCCACACCCAGAGATCATGTCTGCCACCTGAGCCTCAGTTGCCCCAGCTTCTCAGGACCTGCCTACAGCCAAGGCCAGCTAAGTTCTTCCCACCAACCTTAGTGTCTGCCAATGGTATCAACCTGCCCACATCTTCCCCAGCCTGGGCCTGTGTCAGGAACCCTGGGACAGATGGGCAGGGAGATGTCAGAGCCTGCAGGCCTCCTTTCTGGACCCTTCTCCCCAGGGCAGCAGTACGTTCTAAGCTACGTAAATCTTAACCCAAATCTTGTGAATTCACCGCAGCGGAGATAGAGGGCCTGGCAAATCACATAGCACATCCCAGAGGTTGGCTCAGAAGTGATAGGCAGGCCCATTGGCCAGAATTAGTCACATGACCCCACCCAACTGCAAAGGGGTCTGGGAAACACAGGCACCCATGTGTCCGAGAAGGAGAAAAGGCCAGCACCATTGGTGAGTAGTCAATTCTGCAGCCGAGGCTCACCGCAGGTCTTCTCGTCCCCACATTCAACTCCCAGTGCCTTCGGTGGTTCTTTGTAGGACTCATTTGGAGGTCCCCAGCTGCCCTGGCTTCCATCCTCTGCAGGTGAGTCCCTTCCAGCACAGCAATGGGACCAAGGACAGCCCCTGAGCCACCTACACAGTGGACTTCTGGGGACCCCATGCAACATCTCTGCCCCCAGAGATGCTTTGTTGTGTGTGGAGATCTCCACCCAACCAGGACTTTCTCGGTAGCTGGACTTTGAGACACACAAGGAGTCGATAGGGAGGTGGGCAAGGGCAAGGGGCACCCAGCCAGTGCTGTGAGCTACCAGAAGCCACAGGGTAAAGAGAAGAGATAGAGAACAGGCAGCCAGGGAAGAGGAGGTGAGGTAACGAGAGCACGTCTGACAAACGAAAAGAAAGGAGCGCAGCGCCTCCCTGGTGATCGCGAGGCTTGCCAGGCCATGCTGAACTAGAATTCATGGATAATAGAGGCTTCCTTTTCTCGACAGCCCTGTGAGATTAACTGATTCATTCAATAAACAATTACTGAGTGCCTCCCATGTGCCAGGCAATCTTCTGGGATCTCAGGACATGGCAGTGAACAATAGAGATAAAAATCTGTATTTTATCTTCTTTTGGGGGTGGGAAGAACAGAAAGACAATACCTGTGTCAGCGGAGGATAACTGCTCAGGAAAAAATATTAAATAGGATAAGGAAAGAGAGTGATAAGAGAGGATGCTGTTTCATGCAGGGTGGTCAGTGAAGGTGACAACGGAGTCCATCATAGGGGAGGGGAAGTCCCTTCTTCCACGGTAACGAGAAAGGAAGGAGGAAAAGAAGGTTGGGAAGCCGCTTAATTTGTGGCAGAAACATGCCCAGCGTAAAAGCAAGGTCCGGACAACTCATTTAAATTCTATATTGTTTTAATCAAATAACAAATATTCATCAAACACACCCTATGGAGCCAGATATCTCATGGGTGCTAAGGAGATAAGTATGAGTCAAACATGTGCTACTCTGGAGGATTTCGCTTTGGCATGGGAGAGACGGACCTGGACACAGATCAACACAATGCAGGGTGTTACGAATAATGATACAGGGCGGGTTGTTCAAGCAGCGGTGACGTGGCAGAAGGACCAAGGATGCCATCCTGGGAGCCAAGGCGGCTTCCCAAGGGAGGTGACATTTGAGCTGGGTCTTGAAGAATGAGCAGGCGTTTGCCAGATGGAGGCTTGAGCATGAAAGGAACTGCCATCTACTAGGTGCCTACTGCGTGATACGCTCTCACGTTTAATTCTCAGGAAAATCCATGGTAGGTGTTGTACGACTACTTACTGTGAAGAGGCCCGAGGCTCAGAGAAGTTCAGACACTTGTCAAGGTCATACAAGTGTTAGAGCTGGGTTTCCAGAGATGACTGTGTTTATGCACACGTATGCTTTCCCCAAGATACACATTAGCTGATAGACTCATGTTTGCAAAGGCACCGAGCAGAGCGAGAATGTGACATGCTGGGGCCAGCCAGGCCATGGCTCGTTGCCTATTTGTGTGCGTGAAGGAGACTTGAAGATGGGGCATGTAAGTGCTGGTAGGTTTGGGAGTAGATGGACTGATGAGCTTCCCCCCCACACACTTTATACATTGTAAGAATGTTATCTCATTGTTTTTGACTTCCATTTTTATCTGGTATGAATTCATCTGTAATTCTTATTTTTATTTCCCAAAATATGATGTTTATTTTCTATGGCTGCTTTTAAGATTTTTAAAAAAATTGTTGGTTTTCAGCAGTTGTGGTAGACAGCCTCTGAGATGTTCCCCAGTGATCCCTGCTTCCTGGTATCCCCACCCTGGAGTGGTCCCCTCCCTTTGAGTGTGGGCTGGACTTAATGACTTCTAACATAAGACAGGAAAAGTGATGGAATATCACTTCCCTTACTGAGTTATAAAAAGTTGTGGCTTCCCTCTCAGGTGCTCTGTCATTCCCTTGCTCTGAGGACAGTCAGCTGCCACATTGTCAGTTGTCAGGTGTTCCCAGAGGAAGCAACTGAGGGGCCCAACAACCAGTGAGGAGCTGTGGTCTCCCAATAGGCACATGAGTGAGTTTGGGAACCGATTGTCCCAGTCAAGCCTTCACACCAGTCCACAGCCCCAGCCAACAGCTTGATCGCAGTCTTGGGGGAGACCTTGAGCCAGAGGCACCCAGTTAAGCTGTGCTGGATTGCTGACCCACAAAAGCTGTGAGACAATAAACGTAAGCCATTTGAAGCTGCTAGGTTTGAAGGTAATTCGTTACTTAGCAATAGGTGATGGATGCAACAGCCTTGTGGGCTTTCATTGCCTTGGTGACCTGACCTCACACCCCAAGGTGGGCTCAGATTTCCCACAGGTGCCCAGTGGCTCCTCTCATCCCCAGAATCTAGGAAGACTGCATCTCAAGTGTCAAGGAAATGCAGCTTACCTTGGTATATAAACAGGTTATAATTTTTTTCCCTCCAGAGACACGTCCCTGGAAGAGTCTGGAAGAGGCCCCCATCACTCAGCCTCCCAGTTTCCCTTTCACTGTATCAAATGAGGTCAGGAGTTTTCACAAAGAGTGTTGGTCCAGCTTGTAGATTAATAAACCCTGATTTCTCTCCCCATTGAATAAACACTGTACATCAGAAGGGCTGTGGTGGCAAAGAGTGACTGGGCTTATTTTTGAGGTTCTACAGGGTCCCCAAATTTTAGTTTCATAAAGGGAAAAAACATTCTGATCAGAGCCGTGAAAGTGTGCCTGGGCTGGTCCGCTAGGGTGAGTTTCTTTCTCGTGGATGTAAGCCCAAATAGGATGATTGATAAGGAAGTAATATGAGACTGAGTTTATTAATTTGCAAATACTTGTTAATGCCTATATGCTTCAGTTAGTTAGGAATTCTGTGACAGAAACATTGACTAAGAGTGGCTTAGTCAAATAAAGGATTTGTTTTTTTTTCTACCTAAAAGAGAATCTGGAGGTAGTTGATTGCTGGTCTTGAGTCAATGGCTCAGGGGTGCATGAGGAAGAATCTCTCTGAGTCTGACTTTTCTCATGGTTGTGAAATGGCTGCCACAGCTCCGGACATCACATGTGTGTTCAAGATAGTAATCCCTGTTGCCGAGAAAAAGCTGAGAGAAGTCAGTATCAGCTGTGTCTATTTCCTTTCCCAGAGAGCACAATCTTCCCTAGAAACCAATAGTGTGCTGGTCAATCTTCAATTACTAGCATCCTGGGGGACGAGAGGAAGGAAGAAATTCCTAATGTGTAACAGTTGCCAGTTTCTGTGATATAAATTCCCCTGCCACATCTGACTTCAAGCATGACGTTGCCAGCTGCATATGTGGGAAGAGACGCCAGTAGCACACCATTATAGCACACACACGAGAATTCATCTTTCACACAGTTACAGTAGATGTAAAATCCTTAAAAGCATCGATAATTGTAAACTGTTGTCAAATAATTAGGAAGTAATGAATTGGGAGTATTATCTTTGTTTTTAATATAATTTTAATTGTAAGTTTGTATAACTTAATTGTTTAGTAATGACTGTGTTTAACAACTGACTTGCAAAATTCCTGAACAATGAATGCTCAGCTCTCTTGGTCTGGTCCAAGTTGCCTCCAGGACACCATTGCCAGAAACCGGTCAGCCAACTTCTGCCATGTCTCACTGGCCAGATCAATGTCACATGGCCACCTCAGGCTATACCGGAAGCTGGGAAGCTAAGAAACTATTCTCGTCTCTCTAAGGCAACATGGCAAAGGCGGCTGGGAAGGACAGTAGTCTCAGCTAACCAGCTGATTGGCTGGTGTACCCTGGACCAATTGCCCTAGAAAAAAACTGTGCTCAGCATTTGGAGCACAGCGGTGAGCAAGACAGAATCCATTTCTGTTCTCATGAGGCTTTCATGCAAGAGAGGGATTTTAAACAAGTATGACTGTGATGACTGCCAGGAAGAAGTACTGGGTGCTATGAATGTGTAAAATGGGGAGGGGACCTAGGTTATTGTATTCGTCTTTTATTGTTTCATAAAAAATAACCACAAATGTGGCAGCTAAAAACATGCGTTTCTTAACTCAGTCTCTGTGACTTGGAGTTTGGCACATTTTAGCTGAGTCCTCCTCTCAGGATGCACCAGGCTTCACTTAACATTTCAATAGCCCGCGTCCTCACCTGGAGCCTTGATAGGGATGAAACCACTTCTAATCTCTTTCAGGTTGATGCCAGAATTCATTTCATGGGCCTGCCTGACAAGAGGTCTAGCTTTTTGCTGGCTGTGGGCTGGAGACTGTCCTCAAGTCCTACAGACTATCTGCTAGGTGGGCTTCTCCAATGGCCCCTCCCAGCATGGCAGGTGACTTCTTCAAAGCCTGTAAGTAGAATCTCTCTCTACTCTGTTAAGATGAATTCTTATGTTGTGTAACCTGACCACGGGAGAGACATCCCGTCACCTCTGCCACATTGTATTGGCTAGAAGCTGTCATAGGTTCTGCCTGCCCTCATACCAGAGGAATCTTACAAAGGAGTGACTCACTGGGAGTCATCTTAGGGTGTATCTGCCATGGTTGTACTCTGTGCTGGGTGGCTACAAAGCCTTCCCGGGTGCCCGGGTTTTGTTTTGGTCTCGGGGTGGCACCGACATTCAGGGAGAGCCTCAAAGGGTCAGGAGGAGTTGGCCAGGTACCGGAAGAAAAGTACGTCGGGCAGAGGGCAGCATAGGCAAACGTCTGAAGCCTGGAGTTACTACTTCACTCCCTGAGATTTTATTTTCCTGACCTCTGAGTATATCCCCAAAACACATTGGCACCCTGGCTGGAGAGGGCTAGGGACGCGTCTTACGTTCATACAGGAATTTGGCAAATTGAAGTGGAAGCCAGGCTTGCAGTACAGTGTGTGAGTGTGTGTGTGTTTGTGTGTGCAGGGAGATGGGGATGGGGTCTGCTCCAGTCACTGTCAGGATGCTATCCTTTCACCCATTCACCCTACCAGCATTTCCTGAGTGCCTGCGGGGGGCCTGGTCCTGTTCTGCACATGGAAATGAATCAGAGTCAACCCCTCTGCCTTGTCCTAGAGAGGTCACGCTTCATTGGGGGTTGGGGGGGTCCACTCAGACAGAAAGCTCCAGCTGGTGCTGTAACTGAGGTGGCAATGAATGCCGTGGGCATGCAGAGGACTGCACAAGGGGGCGAGGGAAGGAGGGTGATTTCAGACCTCAACCTGAGCAGCTGTGTGGATGGAGAGGCCATTTACTGAGAAAGAGAAGATTGTGAATGAAGCACTTCGTTTTGGCCCTGGGAGGTTTGAGATGCCTCCTGGGGACATGGGTCTGGCAGTCACCACTGTATGTGGTGCTTAAAGCCTGGAAGGGCATGAGGTTTCTGGGCAAGAGGGTCTGTGGTGAGTAGGAGGACATCTGGCTCCAGCCATGGGCCCCCCTAACAATTCAACCCGTTAGGTTGGGCAGAGAAGGGGGCATCCTGGAGACGCCCCGGTAGCAGCTAGTGAGGTAGAGAAAGCCCAGTGTGGGGTCACATGATGCTGAAAGAGCCAATGTGACGAGGTCAGAGGTTTTAAAGATGATGATGGGTGGTGCTTGGATATATGGGGGTGAAAGGTGGAGAAAGGAGGGCATTTCAGGTGGGGAATAGCAGGACTACAAAAGCTTTGCGGCACGAAGGGTGACAGCTTGGCTCCTGGCTCCTTTTCCATGCGTTAAAGGGACCTCAAGAACTCTACGGTCCTGCTTGAAGAAGCTCCTTCAGGGACGGCCGCATTTGCCTCTAATTCACTCCTAATGCACGTCCTAGAAGCCGGGAAAGTGTTGAATGAATCAAAGATGAACGAAGGAGTGGGACTAAGTGACGCGCTTCTTGGGCCTCAGTTTCTCTTTCTGTACAGCAGGCCAACCCTACAAATTTGACTTCTGGGTTTGGGATGAGCACGGCCTGCGGAGCAGATTCCAAGTGGACATTATACACGGCCTCCGGGATTGGGCGGGACTGGGCCGCAGGCTGGGCAGCTCCTCGGTCCCGCCTCCCAGCGGGACCCGCAGCCCCGCCCCGGCAGCCCCGCCCCACCTCCCTTTGTTTCGCGCAGCCCCGCCCCTTAGCGCAGCTCCCTCCTCATTGGTCAGGGGGCGGGCCCTGGAGCGCCGGGCGCCGCCGGGGGCGGGGCGGAGGGCGCGGGCGGGGCAGATGCGCCTGCGCCGTGCCCGAGTCCGGCCGCAGCGTCGCGCCGGTTGCTTCTCTGAGGAGTGCGAGCCGGAGCCGGAGCCGGAGCCGGAGCCGGAGCCTGAGACTGAGACGGGCTGAGGCGGCGGCGGAGGTGGCCCCGCCCCGGGGCTCCATTGTTGAGGCGGCCTCGGCTCTGCTGACTGCGCGGCTCCGCTCCGCTCGGTCCGGGCGCTGCCCAGGCGGCGGCCTGAGGGGAGGCGGCGTGAGGCAAGTCTCGGGCGGCAGGGGTCCCGGGGCCGGGCTGCGGGGCTGGGCCGGGCGGAGGTCCCGGGCGGCAGGGGTCCCGGGTCGGGTGTAGCCGACCCGAGCGTGGCACCGTGGGGTCGCTCGCTGCTCGAGGTGGCCGCCGCCGCCCTGAGCGACAGCGGGACGGGGAAGGGGACTGACCGGGCGCCCGGGTATTGTTTCGGTCACGGGGTGGCACCGAGGGCGCCCCGCGCCTGCTGCGACCCTGCGTGGACGCGCAGGGCTCCTGGTCACCCCGACAGCGGGGGCACTGCCTCGGTCCCCGCTCCCCCCGTGGTGCGGCTGGTGCGCTGTTGTCTGTGTGTCACCGAAGGGAGCTGTGCGTGGGCCCCGCGTGTGGGGAGCCATGGACGTCCCGCGAGTGGGAGACTCTGTCCCTGCCACCCCCCACTCTGCCTGATTGAGGGTGTTGCGTGGGCCCGCGGTCGTGGGGGCCCTCTCACCTTCCCACTGACTGGGTCGCTGGGTATTTGTGTGTCACGGAGGGCGGCTCCGCGTGGACCCACGCGCGTGGTGCCCCAGCCACCCTGCGAGCTGGGGGCTCCTGCCCACCCGGCCTGTCAGGGTGTGCGCGCCGGGGCCCCGGGTGTCGGTTTCCTTGTGCGGGTCCCGGGCCCGTGGGGGGAACGGGCTGCGCGCGGGGGCGCAGTTGGCCCGGGTAGGACCGCCCACCCGCTCTTATTTATTGTCCTTTTTTGCCGAGCGAGCAGAAGCGGGGAGCGGCGCCGCCAGCCGCACGACCCGCGAGCCCGCCCCTCTCCCCGGCCCGGTCCCCGGGGAGCGCGGGGCTGTCACGGCGCCCGCCCGGACCGCGCGCGTCGGGCGGCTGCGTTTCCTGCCCCGGCCGAGGCGCGGCCGGCGGGAGCCGGCTCTGATTGGAGGGAGCCGAGCCCCTCTGCCCGGCCCGGAGCGTCTTGATTTCTTCCGTTAGGATTGGGAAGGGAAAAAAAAGAAAAAGAAATCTGGAAAGCCAGATTTGACTTTGCAGCTCTCAGCGCCTGGAGAGTGGAGGAAACGCTCCCAAGAATTTGGCGGGCTGGAAAACGCGTTTGAAGGCGCGTCCACGCCCGCGGAGCGGGGCCGAGGCCGTTCCAGCCGGAGGTCCGGTGGCCGGGCGGAGGCTCCGGCCCCGCGGGCCCTGCCTCTCCCGCGGCCCTGAAATAGCGTGGAGTCGTTCCTGTGCCCTTTCACCAGACTTTTAAAAACGTCTGTTCAGTTCCCAAGTGACCTAAGGGGTGATGCTCGCCCTTGAGGGATGCCAAGCCCAGACAGGCTGTGCCTTTTCGGGGCGCTCCGGCCTGAGATGGCAGGCTGGGCCGCGGGCACGGGGAGCCTCACACCCGAACTGGAGCTCTGGGAACCGGACGGCGTGTAAGTGGCGGGAGGGTGGGATGAAGATGTGCTGACCCCAGCCGTCGCTCTGTGAAGCCACACGGAGGTGCAGGCCCTTCATGGTTCACGCCCTGCGCCCTAGCCCGCCCTTCCCGTCCCCTCCACTCCGAGCTCAGCCACTCCGGCTCTGGTCACCCATTCCTAAGGTCTCAGCTGAGGTGGCGCCTGTCTCGGAAGCCGTCCCTGAAATCCTGTGCCCGCCCCCCGGAGCTGTGGCCCTTAGGGACAGGTGCGGCTCTCACAGAGGTGAGCACAGTTGCTGCCCGCAGGCAGCCCGGAAGAGGTGCGTGTAAGTGACAGGTCCTTTCTCTGTGCCATGCATCCAAGCAGTTTGTGTGATTTAGAATCTGCAACCCCTTAACTCGAACTCTCCAAAGGGTTTTCAGATTAATATTCGCCGTTACTTCCTGGTGTTGGCTGCACAGTATAGTGTAGTTGATTAGAATTTATTGGGTCCAATTCTGGCTCTGGAATTACATTACCCTGTGTTCCTGCAAAGCCACCCTTTCTGGCCTTCAGTTTCCTCCTTTGAGGGTCTTAAACTAGGTAAGAACCTCTCCCAGCCCTGAACTTTTAATTCCTTCAACCAAACACAGCAGAGGAAAGTTCTCTTAGTGGCAATAGTCTAAATAATGGAGATCTTTGAAAATGTAGATGCTAAAAAAAAAAAGTGGAAGTTCTTTTTCTTCTTTTCAAAAACCTTAGTTGTGTGGGTGTAAGTTTGTCTCAGAGTTAAGGACCAGAGTCAATGATGGAAGCTTAAGCAAATTTTTGATACTATCTTGCATATTCTTCACAATTTAATTTTACTTAACAACATCTGTACTAAATCAAATTGGTTTGATGTTTTCCTTAATGAAGTTGTGGGGTGCAGAACTCTTGGGAGGAGCATTTCATTGGTCTTTTCAGTGTCAGATAAAGTCGGCCAACTGTAGGCTTCTATTATGCCCCAGTCCCTAATGAGTTTTTAATTTGGGAGTCTGAAATAAATAGAATTTTGGTAGTGCTTTGAGTGGGTGTCTGGGGTTTTGTATAATGGCTTAAAACATAGTTTAAAAAGGATTCCTTGCAGAAAATTGCATCATATGTTAAGTGATCTATAAGGAAGCTCTAATTCTAAGGAAGATAATAATTAATCCTTTGAAATATTAATCTCCCTTCCAATTTATCTGTTTGGTAAGATGGGAATTTGGTGTACTTGATTTTCTTAAAGCCACATGTCTGCCTCTGCTGATTACAGGGATTAAAAATAGATGATAGCTATTTGGTCAAGTAGTGATGCCACTGAAGTACAATTTTCACTTAAATCAGTGGAATTTTTGTCTTCTCTTAATTAAAAAAAAGTGCCGTGTTACATGCTCGATGTGGTTTGTTTTGTTAGGGATCTTATTTTAGGAGGGGTATTTTCTGGTCTTTTCCACAACTGTATTTTCTTTGTGGTTTTCTTAGATTGTATTACTATAATGTTTTCAGTGAAGCTTAACTAGTTACTGCTTGTTCTGCGTTGAGAGTATATTGCATTTGTAGCAGGCCTGGTTTTTATGTGGATTAAAAGAAAAGGTCTTTCATAGATGGGAGTGCCTGGGGATAGAGAAGGTAGAGTTTGAACTCAGCATTTCAAAATTGATCTCAACTGAAGAAAGAGTAAACTTTATCTTCCCCATAGCCCAAACAGAGCTTAATTCCCCCCGCTTGAAAGAACTGATGGTGCTGCTTCTTTTTTTTCTTTAGATTATGATATTCTATAAGTCACTTTTTCCCTTTAAGTATTATTTGCCCTGGAACTGGAAGTTCAAAGGTAAATTTTTCTTACACTGTAAGTCTTCGTCTTTGTGTTAACCACCCCCTGCCTGTTCTATGTTACCTACCAAATGGTTTTTCTTCTTTCTTCTCTATTTTAAAATCCTTATTATATATGTGTCTGTTATTGGAGGCTGCCTCAAAATCTTTTTGGATATTGACAGGATGTAAATATAAATCATATATTTAAGATAACTTTAGTTCTTTTGGGCAGGAGACTAGAATTAGAAACCTGGTCCTAGTAAGGCTTGTGTTAAGTCCAAGTACTCTGAACTTTTTAGTTCCCTCATCTGTAAAGTGGAATTAATTGTTAGTAATACCTGTTCTGTTTAGCTCGAGAAATTGTTGTAAGGATAAAATTATATCATGAATGTAGTGGAATTTTGTAAGTTATAAAATATTATGTTGCCAAGGATTTAAAAACACACTTCATTAAGAATTTAATGAATCTGGGTTTTTCTTTAAAATCCCAAATGTTTAATATACACATGATCTTTAATTTGAGGTGTGTTAGGCAACTTTATTTAGGATTGTTTTCTCTCTTTAATTGACCAACATTGTTTGATATTTTTTGTTTTGGGGAAACATCAAATTCATGTTTCATTTATCATTAATCTTTTATAAGCAAAACTATTGAATGTGCACAGTTTAGCCTTTAACAATCTCTTCAATGGTATACATCCCATGAACCTTCGTTTAATGAAGTTATTTTCTTGGTGTTTCAGTTCCTAAGTGACCTATCTTGAGGTTGGGAAAGGCAGTAGGCAGTCTGAGGTCAAGGTCAGCAAAGCTTTCATTGTCTGTTCACATTTGAATTACCCAGCAGGCAGCTGGCACCCGCGTGAACCTGATTCAGCACCAGGGTTCCCGTGGGCCTCCTCTCCTCAAGCTACTTGGTAGCTGTTGGGCGGTGTCTCCCATGCGCGCCCGGTGGTTCTGCTTTTCTCTCTCTCCCTCCTGCCTTTTATTCCTCGATACCAGCTACTGAGAGCCTCTGATCTCCCCAGGAATTGTCAGTGGGAGGAATGCAAAGGGCAGTAAAACATGGCACTCTGTCTCAGAGAATTGACATGTTATACACAGATATTAACTTATACTGTCATACAGCTCAACAGGCCTTTATATAGATTACCTGTGATGTGCCCACATACTGCGTTTGATGTGCAGCTACACAGGTGGGACTGTCACTGAGATGGGAAGAGCTGGGGCTCACAGTCGAGTGCAAGAAGCAGACCTGGATATAGTTGCAGTGCAGTGCAGTGAGTGCCACCCCAGGCACCGAGGGGCGACTGGGTGCTGGGTTGGGGTCCATAGTCCAGCGTTTATTCTCCTACATGCTACTTAGAGCTTCTCAGGCAGGACAGGTATTGGCAGGTGTGCAAGTTAAAGGAGGAGCAGTGAATTACCTGAAACCCATAATTTGTAGGTGTTCTGAGCAATTTATAATTCCCCAGATCTGCATTTATCAGAAAAAGTCTACCATTTGTTGTTTTGAATGGAATATGGCCATCCTGCCTTTTGACCTAAGGAAGTCAGTGGACTTTTGTTGAACGTCACAGTCTGCCAGACGCTCCACTGGGTGTTTTCACATATATTATATCACTGGATGAGTTACCAATTGCTGCTGTAACAAATTGCCATAAACTTAGAGGCTTAAAACAACACAGGTCTGTTATGTCACAGTTCTGTAGGTTAGAAGTCTGACTTGGATCTCACCGGGCGAACAACAAGTATCACACGTCTACGTTCCTTACTGGAGAGTCTGGGGG